CCGCTCGCGTATATCCGACCCCCCTTACCACGCAATGGGCGGGAACCATTGAGGCACTGGGGTAATGTTGTTTTTGTTTGTAGTTGGGAGAGAGGATACCTCACAAAAACAAGTTCCTAATTGGCCGTGGGTTATACAATATGGGTAGCCAACCCCTACCACTCACTAGTCACCGTAAAGGTGAAATCACACCTCTTGGAAAATAAGTTATGGAAAGCTCTTACTTTGAAAATAATGTGCTCTATCTTGTACTCAGGGTATGTATAATTCTTCGTATAATATTTAGCCCACAAAAAGATTACACATGGGCCTGTTCAGTAGAGCTGAATGTACTCAACTGAGTGGTTGTAGTGTAATTTAAAACTAAGCTGTACTTCATGGTACTTTGAGCTTAATGACTAAATTTTAGTTAAAATTTAACATGCCATAAAACTTCTTTCGTGAAATTGGCTGGTTCTTTTTAAAAGTGGATATCAACTTTCACAAAATTGTGAAGTAAAAGAAAAATATTTACCTTCCAGAAAAATATTTCCTACCATTGGACATAGAAAAATCTGCTAACAAAATTTAGCCTTAGATCAATTCGGATTACTTCTTTGGCTCCAAAGTTGTACATGTTGTATGTTGTACTTGTATGGATCTTAACATATGAGTACTGACTTTTTTTAAATTGTTAATGTTCCTTATTGAACATGGAAATCTGCATATCTTTTAATTGTCATACTCTGTATCAAGCATCATCCGATCTTTAGGGTTAATTATGAAATGGTTTTTATTATTTTCTTCTTTTTGAAAATGCTCTTCATCAAACTGCATATAATAACCTTTGTCAATTTACTAGGATGTGATTGGCTATGTGGAGAAGGTCTTTTGTAACAGCAGCACGATGAATCAACCTGTTGGTGGGAACTCCGCACCACATGTCTCAAACGTTGTGTCAAAACCTGTGTCTGGATCCAACCATTCAACCATTTCTGAAGCAAATAATCCTCATGATCCAACCGTTACACCAAAGAATTCCGAAAGCTCCTTAGCCGTATCTTTATCCGAGGAGGTTCTTGATGATGACAGCCACGACACGCTACATTTAATATCATCCATCGAGATGAATGGACAGAACCCACCGGCAAGACAGCCTTCAAAAGACCTTCTAAAGAACCAAACCGACGAGTCAATCTCAATAATGGATATGCGAATGAAGCTTCACCTTTGCAAGGTTCGCTTTCTCATCCTGACTAGTAACCTCAAGGCTGCTAAGCGTGAAGCTAAGATGGCCATGGTCAAAGATAACCCAATGGCTCTTTATCTGAAGTCCCAACTGGAATACGCCCGCGGAAATCATAAGAAAGCGATTAGACTGCTTACTCGTACCGAAACTGGAATCTCCAGCATGTACTATAACAACCTTGGCTGTATCTTTTACCGTCTTGGCAAACCCCATATCTCTGCTATGTTTTTCTCAAAGGCTATGAGTAGCAGTTCATCTCTACGTAAAGAGAAGCCATTAAATCTCTCATCCTTCTCTCGGGACAAGTCTATCCTGATAATGTATAACTGTGGTGTGCAGTACTTGGCTTGTGGGAAACCGGTACTGGCAGCACGGTGTTTTTACAAGTCTAGCCCCATGTTCTACAACAAGCCTCTCCTTTGGCTGCGTTTGGCCGAATGTTGTCTAATGGCACTTGAAAAGGGACTCCTGAAGCCCACTACCTCTTCTGACAAATCCGGATTTGAAGTGCACGTGATTGGAAAGGGAAAGTGGAGGCACCTTGTTATTAAAAATGGGAATACCGTTGGGGAGGAAGAGTTGGTGGTTGGCTGCGGTCAACCTAACCTCAGTATGACTTTCGCACGGGCGTGTCTTTTAAACGCGTTGCATTTGTTGAACAGTTCAGAACCGCTTAATGACGAGGAAAACGGACTGAGAGAAACCCAGGTTGCATCTAATGTGGCAACCGGGGAGCTAAGTGAGCAAAAGGGCGTGAGTGGTCAAAATGCCTCCCCCTCCCCTCTCCTGAACTCCTTGTCAGAATATGAGGAAATATGTAAGAAAGAGAAGCAGATGATTGAGAAAGCTATCTTGGCGGATCTCTCTTATGTGGAGCTTGAATTGGGAAGCCCACTAGAAGCTCTATCCACCGCAAGATCTCTACTGAAACACACCGAAAGTTTTTCTTCAAAGATACATACCTTTTTGGGCAACGTCTATGCGGCCGAAGCTCTATGCCTGCTAAGCCGCCCAAAAGAAGCCGCAGAACACTTGTTGGTGTATCTTTCCAAGGGCAATGGGGTCAGGAAGCCGTTTGATCAGGAAGACGTGGAAGCATGGAGAGTGGAGAAGTTGGTTGATTCCGAGGATCATTCACCGGCAACTGAAACTCAGAGTCCAGTGTTCCTCAACCCCGAAGAGGCTCGCGGGGTCCTATACACCAACTTGGCTGCCATGTCAGCAGTGCAAGGAGATTTCGAGCTGGCCCGGGAATACGCCAAGGGTGCATTGTCAATCATGCCTCGCAGCACCAAGGCAAACCTCATCGCGATATATGTGGAGCTTTTGGGTGGCAACATGGAAGAAGCACTGGTCAAGTTGAGACAGTGTAGGTCGGCTAGGTTCGTTCAGGATGGCTTTCCCCTGAATGGTTCTTCTTCTTCTTCTACTCTATGACTTCAGCCGTATCTTTCAGTGGGACCCACCAGTCTCGTCCCCTGGGGGGGTTAGAGAGGTAGTAGCCGCGTCAGATGAAGATCAATCCCAATACAGGTGATTTGTACCATATATAGTTTTCATCATCTCATGAATAAGTTTTTTTTCATGTGTATCCGCAAATTTTCATATTCAGTTGTAGGTTTATTTTGTTGGGTTGGGTGCCCTACAAGAAGAGATCTGATATGTAGTGGTTTTATTTCTAGAGACCTATGATTTCTAGAGGGTCTAATTCATAGCTTTATGCTTTTTTTTACAAGAGGTAGTATAGACTATAGAGTTGTGCTCTCAAGAAATGATGAATTCAAAGAAATTTTCATTGTTTGTGTCAACATTCTCTGTTGGAAAATGTTAAATGTACACTACATTTGTACAAACGTTGCGTTGCATTCGAAATTTTGAACTATACTGGCAAATTTTGTCGCTTTACAACATGATCGGTATAGTTAAAATTTTGATGGGTGTAAATGTGGTGTACTTCTCTTCTAATTGTCAACCTTGAGGTATGTTAGGGGTAGACCAAGTTTGCAATCTAACTTGCACACCAAGTTTATCACAGATAGACATTACCTGACAACAAATGTTTGTTGTGTGTATGTGTGATACATTTGGTGTGCAAGTTGTGTTACAAACTTTGTGTACTGCTAGCTTTTTTCGTCAAGCTTATGAGGTGTCCACAGGCCACGACAAGACACGCTCCCCATTCGTTTAAGTGTGTGTAGTTGTTATTCATTTACCCTCCCTATAATATTAGCATCAACCGCTTGCATTTGTGTGTTGTTGTTTACGGTATTTGATTGAATTTATTTTTAAGTAAATTTATATGAAAATTGGGGTAGAATTAAAACATAAAATTTATATATTTAAAAATTAGATAAAAAATTCTACAACAAAGAGATGACATTATTATATTATTTTATCAAATTAGTAAAGAAAGTGATTAAAATTTGATCATGTAAATAATAAACAATTAACTTAAATTAAGACAGGGAGTACAAAACAAAAATGAATTGAAAATTTTATTTTATCACAGTTAAAAGTGCAGATATGTAAGAAGAAATGTGGTTTGTCGACTTGATGATCACTCATTTATGAACATTTCCAAATTGAGCACTTACTTTTTATTTAAAAAAAATTGTGTGTTGAGTTTTTTGATGAGTAGAACATGTTTTTTTTCTTCTAAAAAGAAATGATTTTTTAACTTTGAAACATTAGAAAATACGGAGTAGAAATTATCAGTGTTAAAAAAAGTGATACCCCGGAGTAACACAAAGTAGTATTATCTCGAGAACTCTTTTTTTGTCATATATTTATCTCATCTATGTTATTTATTAGTAAAACATATGACATTGCAACTAAAGAAATATTTGCACTAAATAGCACTAAAAATCAAGTCATTTCCCTAAATAGCACTTAAATTGTTTTATTCTCTAAATAACACTTAATAATGTCCATAATGTCCCGTGATGGCGAATATTTACTTGAATAATGACTAATGCATAATAACTAAAAGTACTACATTGGAGAGAAAAACACATGTAGTGCTATTTAGAAAAAGTCATTATGTTTTAGTGCTATTTAAGTAAATTTCTCAAGGATCCTTGCGGATAACTACCTTATCCACATTTTCTTCTCTTAGACTATGTAAAGTCAAACAGTGAGATAATATTTATGGAATATGGAAAAGAATATGTAATTCACAATTGCTTTTTTCTCCTTTAAACAAATTCTAACCACTAATTTTTTTACTCCGTACTATTTAATATTTTTTTGATTCGTGAAATCAAAGTGAATAAATTATACGGAGTATATACTAATTCGTATTGTAACTTTAACAGTATATCTAGACTCTACTCTCGTAAGATCAAATTGATTTGTTGTAACTCACACACCAAATAAAATATATATTGTATATGAATTAGATAAAATAATATTTTGAAAATATTTCTATCAAAACTATTTTTATCAATATCTTACATCATTTTTATTTAATTTGAATTCAAAATTTACTAATTTTGAACGAAAAAGTCAAACGCAAGGTACGTCTATTCTTAAGACTCCATGAGACCCTTAGAAGAACTCCTATGGATTAACGTCCATCAAATTCATTTGCAGGACACTTTAAGCAAAACAAAAATAACCAACGGATTGTTGAACGAATTTAAATATTTATTTTCGACATTCATTTGAAAAAAATAATATAGTTATCTCATCTTTTATTTCCGTAGAACTTTAGATTTATTTTTTTAAATATATAAAATTTATTTTTAAATTTACACATATTTTTATAGAAAATGAATTGAAAATAATTTTAGTCAAATATCGTAAACCAAAACGAGTGGACCGACGAAGTATGAAATAGGGATTAAGGAGCACTAGATTCTTGCATGAAGAAATTCATATCATCCATACTACCAAATAATACACATAAAATGAACACACAAATAAAGTATTTGTGGTTCTAAGTTCATCTCTTTTAAACCCCACATATATATACTCCGTGTGTGTGTATATATGTGTGTGTTTTAGTTCTATTCAATAGAAATTTCACACACACACACATATATCCCCTCATAGACGAGAAATATATTGATTACTAATGAAAGGGTAATCCGTATACCCCACAACAGGATCCTGAGTATAGAATGTTTTCCTGTCGTACATATTCAGTGGTGCACCAAGTTTGAACCTCAACACCAAGTCCGGGTTCGCGATGAAAAGCCGTCCGTACGACACCAAGTCCGCCTCCCCTCGGGCTACGGCCTTGTTCCCGAGCCGCCTCGTGTATCCCCCGCTGCATATGAAAGTGCCCCGGTACGCGTCCCGGAGGCGGCGCATCAGCAGAGCCTCCTCCTCTTCGCTGCCCGACCTCCCCGCCTCGGTCTGCCCGTAGGCCACGTAACGCGGTTGGGTTACGTGGAGGTAGGCGAGCTTTGCTCCGGCGTCGCTCTGTAGTTCGTTCAGCCTCTCCACCACGGCAAGACCGAGTCCGAGCGGGTCGGAGTCCGTGGCGTCGAGGTGGTCGATGGCGGGCGAAATCCTGACGCCGAGGCGGTCGGGACCCACGGCATCAGCGACCGCTCGAACGACTTGGGTCATGAATTTGCAACGGTTCCGAAGGGGCCCGCCGTACTCGTCCACGCGGTCATTGATCCCGTCTTTCAGGAACTGATCGATGAGATAGCCGTGAGCTCCGTGGATCTCAACACCATCAAAGCCTGCGTGTTTCATTTTCAAAACATAGGATGAGTACGCCATTTATATTGGTTTTATACTCCCTCCCTCGCGTGAAACTTTTCAACTTTCTCCCCTTACATGTTTCAAAAAAAACATTTCAATTTGACCTAAATGGACACAATTGCCCTTACTTTTTCTTAAATCTAACCGAACTTACCTCAGGTCACCACTGCACATATGCACTAGCAACCGAGGGCAGGTCAAGAAATTGGCCATAAGTTATATCTTATACGATAAGTTTTTCTTGGCGCCTGTGTTTGTGTCAAAGAACCAACTCAACAAAACCTGCTTTCATAGCATTAACGGCCGCGACACGATAGAAGTCCACTATTTTTGCAATGTCATCGGTTCCTAGGGCCCGAGGTTCGGGATAGATCCCATAGCTCCCGTCTGTCATCAGTATCCTCCATCTCTTTGATATTGCTTTGTCTGTTGAAGAAACAGGTGCACACCCAGCAGGTTGATACACTGACCAATTTTGGTTCAAACCCACCACATTAGGTACAGACGAAGAAAAGAACACGTTTTAATTAGAATTAGTGTTTTGGATTATTGTTTTAAATGATGCAAATTAACTTTTAAAATGTTAAAGCTAAATGCTGGAGGTGTTGTTAAATATGGCCACATAAAAGAGTACCTTCATGAGATGCACGACCGACATGCCACAGCTGACAAAAGAAAACAGCGCCCTTAGCATGGACGCTGTCAACAACCTTCTTCCATGCCTCCACTTGCTCCGCGGTGAAAATCCCGGGCACGTGAGGAAACCTGAAACCCGAAAAATGGTTCACTTATAGCTTGTGCAGCTAGGTAAAATAAATGTGCACAAACTCGATCCATGACCCGACCCAAAAATGCAGAATTTCCAACAAGAAGTTCAAGCAAAGACCCAAAAGTGACCAAATCCAAAACAGCCCGCTAAAAATAGGTCAAAACTGATTGATCCAAAGAGATTTCCTTTTCAAAGACCAGAACCCGAACCTGACTCGACCTTCCCGCTTGATCCATAGCTCTCCAAGACTCCAAGTACAGTACATGTTTTTGCCCATTTTCATAGCTTGATCTTTTAAGTTTTTGAGCCTTATTTGACCTATTCTTTCCCACACACTAACTTACCTGAACCTACTTGCCATAAAGATAAGAATGCAAATCCCTCAAAAAAATAACAAATAAGAATGCAAAAGATGTTCTTTTTGCTGAAATGATTAAAGGAAGAAAGATTAAAGTAGGACTAAAACATTGAAAATATACTAAAATAGGACTTCCATGTTTTTATTCATGAAATAGGAGTTACATTACCAAAAAAGTATAGTAATGTGCACATGACAGTACAAAATCTTATTTCGGGAAAAAAACATGAAAGTCCTATTTTGGTATTTTTTTTCTATGTTTTAGTCGGTGATTTCTAATGATTAAAATCAAGAACTCGAATAAATGTTCATGGATCATCACTCATGTAACAATTTCAAGGTTGAAAATTTGCAGAAAAATTTTACCCAGCAGAAGTTGGGTCGACCATGGTTCCCTCGGTGATGAGAAACCCACCGCGGGTAGCCCTCTGTGAATAGTACTCCGCCATGGCCGGCTGCGGAATCCCATTCAGAGCTCTGCATCTTGTACATGGCGCCAATACAATCCTGCACATGAACATATATATATAATATACAATTATTATATATATAGATTCCCAGATTTTATTTAGCTTAATTAATTACTACAGTAGTTTATTGAGGGCTGACCTGTGGGAGAGATTGAATCTGCCCAATTTATATGGGGAGAAGAGGTTGGGCTTTGATGAATCTTCCTGATCTGGAAGTTGAGCCATAGCTAAGTATGGAATAGATTTGATTATGTGAAGAAGTAGAAGAGAAGATGTTGCAGAGTGTGAAGGGGAGAATTGGAAACAGAGAAATAAGCCATAGCTGTGAAGGAAGAAGGAATTTGTTGCTCTACTAATTCGCTAAGGGACTGTTTGACAACTTCTGAATAGGTAAATGCTGAACCAGTAAGAGGTCTGAACTATTAAGTGCTGAATCAATAAGAGGTCTGAACCATTAAGAGCTAGTATATTGCTTAACTATTCAGAGGCAAATGTCTGATCAATTCAGATAAGAGGTCTTAACCATTCAGACTTTGTATAATACTTAATCATTCAGAGGCAAATCTCTTAACCATTCAGACATCTGAACCATTAAGAAACTGAAACAAACAGTCTGAACCATTCAGACATCTGAACCATTAAGAGGCTGAAACAAACAGCCCCTAGTTCTCCTCCAAAAATCAAAGTCAATGATTTGAAGATTGAATCTCGCATTGACTAAAATGACTAACTTTTGTGTTTTGACCCATGGATTAAAAACTTTGTCGGTAACAACTTCAACATTTATTCGCAGTATATTGGAAATACTATTTAATGATAATGTTTAGCTTTAATATTTTTTAAAATTAATTTAGAATATTGAAATTTTACTCTCTTTATCCGTAAACGAATTGTCCAAACAACTATCCATACGGTCTAACTTCATTTACGTTATTTATTTTATTACTCATTTCATAATATAATATGAAGTATAAAATAGTAATGTAACCTCCTATTTTGAAGATCTTTTTAGTTTCCAAATGTGTAAATTTTATTTTCAAATTTTACATCTTCAATCATATAAATTGAATTAAATATAAAGTCGGTCAAGTCTCGTAAACTGGAATAAGCAACTCAATTTCAGATGGAGCGGCTTTTCAAAATTCAAAACGCTAATTGAAAATATTGTTCACAAACAAGACAAAAAAAAATCTACCTCGGTTTACCCTTAATGTGGATCCGTCAGAACGTCCACTGGACTTTCCTTCTTAACCACAATCTATTCCCGCTTTAAAACATCAGAAAGTGGCCTCTTGTATAACCATTCATAATTTGTACAACCTCGGTTCCAAAATAATCTTTTCAGTAACTAATACAGTCATTCGATAACTTATGCTTGTATGCATATTTTTATTGATCGCTTGATAAAATAAAGTATTTTTGTCACATCTTATTATATAGACTTATGATGTAATTTTAAGCAGTGAAATTTACATTTTTTATTTTTGCACCAATTTATAAATAAAATTATTCTAAATTAAATAATATTTAACACAATCTTTTTAACCAGAAGAATAAATTGAGACATAGATGGCGTTAAGGTCCAAATCCAATGGGCCAAATCCAAATGCCATACGAAATGGAGTCTTTGACTGTGTGACCTTCGGTGGATTGGAAATCTCCATAGTCCATATGGACAAATTTATTTGTTAAAATAAAAAATTTTAAAAAAAGAATTTCCAAATTTACGCGCCGCACTTAATGGACCTAAAAGTCCAAATCCATTACGGTTTAATTTTCTTTCTTTCTTGATATGCGTTAAGACTCGCCCGCCCTATTTCCCTAACCAAACAGACCCACCCCGTAGTCCATTTTACTTTCTTGGGTCCAAGCCCAATTTCGCTCTCGCCCCTCTCTCATCTCGCTCCGCCTCCGCTTCCGCCGGTGGCAGATCCGATCCGGTGCGTCTCCGGCGGCTGGGAATCGGCGACCGTGCTCTAATATCGACGAATCCAAGCACTTTTGGGCGTCGCCTGTCAAAATCGCGTTTTTGGGTCTCGATTTCTCCGAAGATCTGCTATCTCTAGGTTTGGAATCCTTGAATCATCGCTCTGTATTTTTTTTCCCGGATTTTATTGTGAAGATGAGGATTCTTGTAGGGTTTCTCGATTTTCATGTCCGATTGAGATGATTGTGAATGATTATGCATATCTGACATTATTCCGTTTTCCGGTTGAATCGCCGTCCAATTTGGCCCTTTTACTTGTTTTCCTTGATTTGATTAATTTGGAATTTTGGATATTCTTGTTCATGGAACTGCAAAGTGTGTGATTTTCCCCTAAAGACCAGACCTTTTTTACTTTTTTTTAAAGATCTCATTACTTTTGATTGTGCAATTACAAATATCCTATGTAAGGCTTTGATCACATCATAGTATATAGTTGAATGCTACTAAAAAAAGAAATTCACAAAAGATTAATTTTTTTATTAAAAAATTAATAAATAATCTTTTGCTCATTGTCTCCTACTTCCATAATTTGTTTGTTTGTTTTTTGTTATTGTGAACTTACATTTGTTCATCATACTTTATATGTTCATTGTCAATCGAATTGAAGGTGTATGTCTTGTTTTGAAAGTCATGATTCTGTAACATTGTATGATTTCACATAACCAATTTTTCTTCTGTCTTTTGTTAAGGATAATTTCTTTGGGCAGAAAAGATGGCTTCCCCACTCACTCCGACTTCGCCGAACACTTCTGGGGGCGAGAACCACGAGCTCATTGCCCTTCACAACGAAATGATGGGTGATCACGAGATACTAATCGACGAGATGATGCTCAACAATGAGATAGTCCCAATGGAGATGGAGAATAGTTTGGCATCCGAAATGCCGCCCAAGAAACGCCGGAAGAAGAAGTCGATGGTCTGGGAGTTCTTCACGATCGAATCGGTCGGGAATGGGTGCCGGAGGGCGTGTTGCAAACAGTGCAAGCAGACCTTCTCTTACAGCCGAGGGTGTAAGGTGGCGGGTACCAGCCACCTCAAGCGGCACATTGCCAAAGGCACCTGTGCCGCCATCCTCCGTAACCAACAGCTATTGAACAATGGCGACGACAACAACAACAACCTGCTTTGTAGTGCTCCGGCGAAGATGAGGGGATACCGCGGCGGAACCACCACGAACATGCCGAAGAGGCGTTACCGGACCGCTGCCACGCCTGCAATCACGTTCGACGTGGACCGTTGCCGCCAAGAGCTCTCTAGGATGACCATCATGCATGACTACCCTCTCCACATGGTTGAGCATCCGGGGTTTGTCGCTTTCGTCCACACCCTTCAGCCGCGGTTCGACATGGTCAGCTTCAACACTGTTCAAGGAGACTGCGTGGCAACTTACCTCAGGGAGAAGCAATCCCTTTACCGGTTGATTGAGGGAATGCCGGGGAGAATCTGTCTCACCCTAGACATGTGGTCCTCCCACCTCCGAGTTGGCTTCGTCTTCATATCCGGACAGTTCATCGATCCTGAGTGGAAGATTCACCGGAAAGTTCTCAACGTCATCCGGGAACCGTTTCCGGAATCCGAGTCCGCTTTCAGCCATGCCATCGCCGCTTGCCTCTCGGACTGGAACATTGACGGCAAGCTCTTGTCGGTCACTGTCAATCAACCCATGAGTGATCCGAATAAGGTCCGCGCATTGCTATCCGTCCAGAATCCGACGATCCTCGACGGTCAGTTGTTGGTCGGGAATTGTCTTGCTCGCACGCTGAGTAGCATCGCGGCGGATGCCTTGACTTTTGCTCAAGACGTCGTGAAGAAAGTAAGGGACAGTGTGAAATACGTGAAGACTTCTGAATCCAATGAGGAGAGGTTCCTTGACCTGAAACAGCAGCTTCAAGTTCCCACCACAAAGAATCTGTCATTAGATGACAGGACACAGTGGAACACGACTTTTGAGATGCTAGCCGCCGCGTTTGAGCTGAAGGAAGTGTTCTTGTGTCTGGACAAGTCCGACCCGGATTACACCGGCAGCCCGTCGGCCGAAGACTGGAAGCTGATCGAGACGCTGCAGTATTACCTGAAAATCCTATTCAACACCGCGAGTCTTCTGGCGGGCCCGAGGATCCCGACGTCGAACGTGTTCTTCCACGAGGCTTGGAAGATTCAGTTGGAACTCGCGCGGGCATCCGTCAGCGAGGACCCATTCGTCTACGGGCTGACCAAACTGATGCAGGAGAAGTTTGACCGGTACTGGACGAGCTGTTACCTGATACTGTCGATTGCGGTGATAGTGGACCCGCGCTTCAAGATGAAGCTCGTCGACTTCAGCTTCTCCAAGATCTACGGCAAGGATGCCACGTCACACGCGAGTGTCGTCAACAAGGGGATCCACGAGCTGTATCAGGATTACGTGCAAGAAAATGACAGGGTGGCAAAGCCAGCTGGCGGCGGTGAGTCAGGCAGGCTGACGGATTTCGATGTGTTCGTCAACTTGACATCGAGCCAGCTGGCGAAATCGGAGCTGGACCAGTATTTGGATGAGTCGCTGCTGCCGCGGGGCCACGGGTTTGACGTGGTCGGGTGGTGGAAAGTGAACCGGACAAAGTACCCGACGCTGTCCAAGATGGCCCGTGACATACTGACCATTCCAGTGTCGACCGTGACGGGGGAGTTGGTGTTTGGCACAGTGGTGCCGAAAGAGATGGACCGGTACCGGTGCTCTTTGCGGCCGGAGATGGTGGAGGCGCTCGTGTGTGCAAAGGACTGGCAGCAGGAAGAGTCTGCAAGAAGCAGTAGCAGTCTTATTGTATCTCCAATTAAATTGGAAGTCACCATTTAATCTTCAATTTCTCAATGTGTTTTTTTCCCTTCTTCTTATCCCCCTCTTTTGAATAGTGATATTTTTTCTAAGAAATGGTTTAACATATAGTGATAACTGATAAGTGACATCTTCATTTAGGATTTATCTTAAGATTAGGATTAAATTTACCTTCTTCTAGCTAACTACTCATCTTAAAGGTATTGGGTTCATTTTTTTAAATTTTTTTCTAAACATATGTATCACTGAAGTTACCTTTTAACCTTTTTTAGGTTATTTGTATCATCCCTAAGGTTACTTGACATTAAAATCTAATGTCATATTATGACATTGGATATATTTGGAACTCTTAAGAAATTTGGTTTGGTTTGATTTCAAAGTAATTCTTGCCCCCCTAACACCTTATACACATCTTCTTTCAATCTCCAAAGTCTTGTTGATAATCTGGTCAATTTGGGAGTGCAATTGGGTTGATAAATGATGGTTGGGTTGGAAGTGTGAGTTTATGAGAGAAGTTAGGATATTTTGTTTCCCACCTTGGTTCCCAA